AGCCCTGTTGCAGGTGAGGCCATAAAAAAAGGACAATCCAATGGACTCACACTAGATGCTTTTCTGTCTCGTACACCTTCCCTTCTTTTCATTAATGAAAATAACCGAATTTGTCAGACTTGAGCCAGATATGTTATTGTTCTAAAGAAGCAGTAGAAATGTACATTACTGCTGGAATAGAAGACAGTCTCTGGCCTTAGGGAGCTTTCAAATGCACCATTTGGAGGCAAAATACAGCTATTCGAAGCCTTCATGCAGCAATGTATGTGCAAGTGCAATCTGTCCTTCAAAAGGAACTGCAATGATGACGGGGACGCAGATGAGGGGTCCCCCCCGGCCTGGTCAAGGGTTTTCTGGAAAGGGTAAGGTAAATGAGATTTCAGAGACAGAAATACAAATTGACCAGCAGGGTGAAAGAAGGAATTTTCTTTCTTAATATATCCTTTAAAGTAATCAGTTTGCTTAAACTGGGTACATTATTGATAGGGATACTGAATCTAGTAAATATTAGATGCATTTTATAAATACTGCTGCTACTAATCTTTGAAATGACCTGCCTACCCTTCTGTTACAAGTTGGTGGTAGTGTATAAAAATGTAAATTAATGAGCCCAAATCATTCTATTTTACCCTTTTTTAGGTATCTAATATTCATGAATTTACTTAGTTTTGGGGTTAATATTTCTTATTTCTTTACTTTTTATTAAAATATATAGAGACTGTTTAAGACTCTAAATTCCTAAGTCTCTAATGATGGGAAAAAAAATCTGATTATTACTGAATTGCATGAAAATATTTTCCTGCTGAAATAAGAGCTCATTTTGAGCTTCAAGACTATTAAATTTTAAGAATTAATATTAAATACTAACTATTGAAATGATTTATTCCACTTTAACAGTTTGCATCATTTTGGGTCTCAGAATAGGATATGAATGTTAAGTTCTTTGAAGCCAGAGCCAAGTCTTATTTGTTGTATTTTGCAAATCATTTAGTACAGGTAACGTGCTTATTTACTGAACATTGACTTTAATTCTGATGGCTTTTAGACTTTATTAAATATCATTGATTTGGATCATCTTATAGCCTTCAGGAAGGCAAACGGATATGCAGATTTACTATAATAAACTTTTTAAAAGTCACATAAAATAACTAAGAAAAATGTTTTACCTATGATATTTTTCTTTTGTTAGAAGAATCTATGTAAAACATTCTAGGTAGAAGAATTTTTGTAGAACATTGTAGGGAAAGGCCTTGGTATGAGTCTATTGAATATGTTCAGCAGAGCAGAGAAACCTCCCATTGTGCTAAGTTTAAAAATGATTTTTCATCTGTTTTTCTGACAGAGGGGAAGAAAATAAGGTAGATAATTTTTTAGTTCATCACTAAAGATTTTTCAAATACTTCACAAATAAGTTCTGCTTAGCACTGGGGTAAAAGGGAGCCATTACTCAATATTTGGGGGTTGTCAGTACCAACACAACTTAGTTTTCAGGACCCCATGGGTCTTGAAAGGTGGGCCTTTACCGAGGACCCTGGGCTGGAGAAAGCCTCGGTCAAGGCCTGCTCCGAGTCCATTAGGCTGTTCCTTAGCTGACCTTCACAAGTGGCTTTGGAATCTTTATAAATTTGAACGGTATCTATGTGTCCCTTAAAATCATTCATATAGAGCTTATTAATGTTTGCTAATGGAGGATTGAAGTAGGACATTAGGGATAAGTGGCAGGCTGGGGTTCTTAATGTGGATGAAGCCCATCGTTTTGCTACTAACTCACGGAGCTGTTGGGAGCATTGAGTGAAATAATGAGAAGTACCTGAGTCTGGAGTACGCGCTCAACGGATGTTTGTGCCTGTGCCCTCTTTTCACTGGAAATGTTTTTGCTTAACATTTTTATAAAATATACCGATGGGCTTTATCAGCATGATAATATGTATGTTTAACTTGAACTTTTTTTTTTAAATAAAAGATTAAGGTTTCCTAGCAAAAAAAGTCCTAGCAATTTTAAAATAGAATGAAAAAATGCACACTTCATTTGAGAGATAAAGTGGAAGCTTGTTTTTCATGCTGTACAAACTTGTCACTTTTTTCTTTTTGCCTTTGGAAAGTTTCACATTAACAGCATAAGAACTTAAAAATACAGTTGATGTTGAAAGAGCTTAACTAAATATTTTAAATTGGTGGTATTGGAAAAGGATTCTGTAAAAATCCAATTAAACTTTTGAAAGCTCTATCCTGTTGAAATAACTTAAAGGAAGTCAGTTTGGTTTCCCAGAAGTACTGTGCATAGTGTTTCTGGCTGAGGAAGAAAGGCCCGAATCGGCTCTTTGGCCAGAAATTGGGTACCAGCTTCCTCTACAATGTTTTACTTGAACAGTGTTGACACTTGAACAAATCCCATAGAAACTGCCCCAAGTGGGGAACAGTTGTTCTTGTTTTATAAGACTTGGTCCTGTAACTAATGTCTCAGACACTAGTAGTATTCTTGGCTGAACAATCTATAGATGTGCATAAATTGGGAGCAAAACCCCAAATGTTTTAGGAACTTAATTGGCTACTGTTTTTCAGCCAATCAGCCAACTTTAAAAAATATTGGTATAGTTTATGGCTTGATAGCCAATAAAAATAGTGAACAAAAAGAGGCTAGTGTCCCTTGTTTCTTAAACTCTGAGGATTCAGTTCTCTTGCTATTTAATTATTAAGTTAAAAGACTAGAATGATTTCTTTTAAAATTGGGCACTTTAGGAATTTTCTTTTCTTTCCTCAGACATGAGAAATAACTTTCCATTAAATCACAGTAAAGTATTTAACCAACACGTTTGTTTTTGTGAATTTATTTTTCACAAGGAGTAAAAACAAACATTTGTGCAAAAAGTTGTTTTTTTGTGTGTTTGATTTCCATGTACAAGAGCGATAGCTCCCTTTACTGCTAGTATTAAACAGATTAAATGTGAATGTAAGTGAAAGGAAAGTTCTTTTATTTCTTAGGTTACTTAAAAAGTTTGCATGTATTAGCTTAAAAGCTTAGACTTTACTATGAGAGGAAGGAAAAAAACTCAGGAATTATGATGTCCATTTTACAAATAGAGTGATAGGAAACAAAAAGGAAATTTAAAAAACAAACATAATTGTGTCTTGGTTCAGAGCCAGAGGAGGGGAGGCAGGAAAGGAGGCTCGGGGACGCACACCAGCCACGAGGAGCTGAAAGAGAAATCTCATGGGGAGTAATTGGTGCAGATTTCACAGTGCTGTTCTGGCCCTTTCTTCTTCGTCCTATGGAATCTTTTTTTAAGAGTCAGGTTAGCAGGATAGTAAAAACATACTAACTACAAGCTCTAGAAATCTCAGTTGATGTGGACAATGTCTTTTAAAATTTGGATACAGTTGAGTAATCTTAAAACTTCCTGAATATGATACTGCTAAATCAGAAAGGTTGCTGAGTTTCATGGTGATGGGGGTCAAGGCAACTTAGAAGGTTCTTCTCTTTTAGAAGAAAACATTTGAAAATTTCAGAGCTTAGCTCTTCAAAAGTTTTAATATGCAAATTTATTGCACAAACTCTCATCTTTAACAAATTCATAGAAAATTGTGACAAAAAGCATAAATATAGGAACTACTAGTTAATGAGATTCTTAGGGTTTGGGGTTTAGTTAGAGGACTACGTGATCTCATAGGATTAATTAAGCTTAAAACTGGGAGTTAAAACTGCATTATAAATATTAAGTAATTTAAAAAGATTGGCAAACTTTAGATGACATGCAGAGGAATACAAATGGCAGTGGGGCAGCAGCTCAGTTATCAGTTCACTATCCGAGTGAGGAGAGCTGTGAAAGAACGGGCAGGTTGAATGATTAGGGCCTGGCCACGGATGTATTACACTGGAAAGCTGTGAGACCAGGCATTTTTGTTTATCTGATTGTTGTATTGCAGGCATTCAGGACAGCGCCCAGCATATGGTAGAAACTTGGCAAATCATTTATAAAATGAAATTTTAAACAAGACTCTTTATTTTTAGAGAGGGGAAGGGAGGGAGAGAGAGGGAGAGAAACATCGATCGATAGGTTGCCTCTCCCATGCCTGCAACTGGGGACCTGGCTCACAGCCCAGGCAGGTGTCTTGACCAGGAATCATACCCAGCGACCTCTTGGTTTGCTGCACGACGTGCAACCCACCAAACCATGCCAGTCAGTGCTATAAAATGAATTTTGATGGTTTTTTTGGTGCAGTGCTTTACATAGAAAAAAGAAAGCAAAAATCAGCAAATGTTGAGTTATTAAATAGGTTGTTTCATGACTCTTTACCAAAGTGAAATGATCATTTCCAGATTTTCTGATCTGATTGAGGAATTTATTAATTATCACATGCATGAAGCTTTAACAGTCGAACTTAAAATTTTTCTCTTTTGTATCTATGTGAAGAATGGGAGGGTGTGAATGTATGTGTATGTGCTAGTGTGAATTTCAAAGAGCAGATGCCCTAACACTTCATTTAGGAGGCCTTGTGTTCAAGGCAAGTGTCATATGTGCTGGAAATTTCAGTCTGGCTAATTTAGAAATACCTAGGACCAGTTGGAAGTAAGATCACAATTGTAGGACCTGAATTGTATTAGTGATCTGAGCAGCTCCTTCTCAGCCATCTTACAATCATTAGTCTTCACTCATTTAATTTGGGTGTAGACATTGTATTTGGATAGTAACGATAAAGCCACCCATGCTATCCAGCCATTTTATGAATTTATATATACAGGAGCACTGATTCATCTTGCACATTTAAACTTGCAATTCTTTCATTCTTCAGTGGTACATGGAATACTTTTTTCTTTGCGTGATTAGGTGAAGTAGCATTCTCTGAGACAGTGAGTCTGTTCAGTAGATGTCCTTGAGAAGTGGGTTCATAACAGAATTCTTGGACCATGATTTTTTTTTTAAAAAAATTTTCAGGCAGTCTCTACATTGTTTGTCTTACAAGCAGGGCACCTCACCTCTTCTCTTCATTTGTTGTCACAGGTGAGAAGCCATACAAATGCACCTGGGAAGGCTGTGACTGGAGGTTCGCGCGCTCCGACGAGCTAACACGCCACTACCGGAAGCACACTGGGGCCAAGCCGTTCCAGTGCGGGGTGTGCAACCGCAGCTTCTCCCGCTCCGACCACCTGGCCCTGCACATGAAGAGGCACCAGAACTGAGAGCCGCCGCTGTGGGCCTGCTGTGCCTATGCAATTCACACTGACGGTCTGCGGTTCACTTGGCGACATTTTAAACTACAAAATTAACTATATATATATAAAAAAAAGAAACAACAAAAAAACTGGAAATGTATATTTTGTATATTTGAGAAAACAGGGAATACATTGTATTAATACCAAAGTGTTTGGTCCTTTTAAGAATCTGGAATGCTTGCTGTAATGTATGGCTTTACTCAAGCAGATTTCATCTCATGACAGGCAGCCACATCTCAGTGTGGGTATGGGGTGGGGGTGACAAGGTGTGTTTGCAGTGTTTTTACCTAAGCACCATCATTTAATGTGACAGTGTTTAGTAAACAAGTCATTTGGCAGGCAGAGGGAGGAGGCTGGATTGTGTGTCAAGATTTTACTTGACATCAAGTGGTTTTTCAATATTAGACTAATTTTCTTAGAGGTACGTAGTGTACCTGGCAATTCACAAATAGCCATTGAACAAATAAGTGTTTGTTTTTTTGTTTTGTTTTTTTATATGAGTTGCCTATATTTGCTATTCAAAATTTTGTAAATATGCAGATCAGCTTTATAGGTTTATTACAAGTTTTCTAAGATTTTTTTGGGGAGAAATCATAAGTAATTTGAAAATAACCATGAATGCATTTACAGTTAGAATTTGTGGTAAGATACCTCTTAAAACCTTACCAAATTCACTTCTTTAGGGGAAAGAAATAATAATCATTCAAATGAACTTTAAAAGCAGATTTCATGCACTGATTAAAATAGGGTTGTTTATTTTAAATAATGAAAAGATGTTTTATATGAATTGTGAACTCGAGCTTAAAGGTAGTTACAGTATACAAAAGTTAAACCTCTTACAATAAGCTAAACACAGTATCATTTTTAAGAAGGAGGACTTAATGTAATTTATGATGCAGTTTTCATATATGAAAATGTTGAATTTATGATGCAGTTTTCATATACCGAGATTATTTGCTCATGCAGTACTGTTGGTTAAATGCCAGTTTCTGTGGATTTTGCATGTAATATACAGTGACACAGTAATTTTACCTAAATTACAGTGCAGTTCAGTTAATCTACTGTTCATACTGACTCAGTGTCTGCCTTTAATTACAAATGACATGTTGAAAACTTAACGAAGCAAGTGCTACATATATGCAATATAAAATAGTAATGTGATGCTGATGCTATTAACCAAAGGGCAGAATAAATAAGAAAAATGCCAAAAGGGGTCTTAATTGAAATTTTAATTTTGTTTTTAAAATATTGTTTATCTTTATTTATTTTGTGGTAATATAGTAAGTTTTTTTAGAAAATTTTCATAACTTGATAAATTATAGTTTTGTTTGTTAGAAAAGTTGCTCTTAAAATGTGTAAATAGATGACAAGTGGTGTAAATATTTTGTAAGCAGCCTCAAAATGTTTATACATGGAAACATAACTGCATAAAAAGCATAACTCGGTTGCTGTTTTGCTTCTTTTTCCTTCTTATTTTTGTATTGTGGTCATTTCCTATGCAAATAATGGAGCAAACAGCTGTATAGTTGTAGAATTTTTTTGAGAGAATGAGATGTTTATATATTAACGACAATTTTTTTTTTGAAAATAAAAAGTGCCTATAAGATTCATGTTTTGCCTCCTTCTTCACTTAAAATAGGAAAACATTTAGCAAATCCCATTTCCATTACTATTTAAAAGGGTCTGTTTATCAGGGCAGTTAATAAAACACCAGTTTCCGCATTGAACTGATACCTGCCTTTGTTTAAGACAAAAGAGAAGGACTCATTTTTAAAATATGATTAGAGGCATAAAGGGAGGCAGAATTCTTTAATGCTGATTATTATTATTTTTTGGTTAGTACCCTTGATTTGATGTAATGAAAACAGAATTTTTAGGCTTCTTCCTCCTAAAAATTTGTAACCCCAGTCCAAAATCTGCTTGGAACATTCTACCAAATACCTGCTCAGTAACTCAACTACCAATGTCGTGAAAAACAAGCAAAATCTGAGAAGCTGTCACCTGAGAGAAGCCTAAGGAAATGTGACAACTAAATGTAACAAGCTAAATGGCATTCTGGAACAAAAAGGACTAGGGGAAAAACTGAAGAAATCTGAATATAGTGTGGAATTTAATGTTTCAATATTGGTTTGTCAATTATGATAAATGTATCATAATAGAGAATGGGGAGAGTGGTATACGGGAATTCTGTTTTTGCAGTAATTCTGTAAATCTGAAACTTCTAAAATAAAAAGTTTACAAAAGCAAAGGAAAGAATCAGTATCACTAATATGTATTTTTAGTGAGTGGCAAAATCTCTGATATTGGAGCTAAAGTGAAAATTTCAGTTACAGAATACGGCATCCTAAGTTTATCCAGCCTGCAGGTATTTGAGACCCCACTCTTCCCTCATTATCTAGCTCAAGAATACAATACAAATCATTCCCTGGCCAGAATTTCTCATGGGGGGAAAAACTCTGGCTTAAATTTATCTCTAGAAATAGGGAGGCTGTAGGTTTTTGTGAAGCAAGCACTCCATATATGTCCAGTAACAAATCAAGGGTGTATCAGTATTCAGTTGTAATTGGTAATTGTGTGAATTAAGACGTCTTGGAAGTAGGAACTTCCACTCTTTGGTTCCTAGCACTGAATTGTATTCAGCTTCCTAAAACTTAAATACTATTTTACCCCAGGTTAAAATGTTTCCAGTTCTCTTTCCCTCACTTTTTGTAGGCTGCCCTTTCTCCTCCCTCGCCAGCTACCTGTTCAAATCCTTGTCTGTCAAAGCTCACTTCAGGCCGTTGATCTTTATTAGCCACACTCAGCAGAGCTGCTTTTGTGTTTGGAGACCTGACAATTTAACGTTTGAATTATTTTCTGACGGCTACCATGTGTGTCTTTGTTTGGATTGTCAACTGCTTGGAAGAAACATCACTTCTTAGATTGCCTTTGTATTTCTGCTCTTATTGATTGATAAAGGAGATGTCAAAAAATAACTTTATGGTGCTGTATGAAATGGCTTAAGCCCTGCAGGAATTGAGATAATCTAATTTTGGCCAAATTTCCTCCTCATCTTGCATTGTTGCTGTAGTGGTGGGTTTTTGATAAGATGTGTGACTGCGAAACAAAGTGAGCAAGCAGGTAATGCCCTGTGAATCTGTAAACAGGATGTTTCAAGAGAAAAATATTTTAGACAACTATTACTAACACTTCAAAGCTGCACATAATTTAATTGCTGGTCATTAGCATGTCCATTAAATGAATATTTGGTTTCAAACATATCCTGACCAGTCTTATGGTAAACAAGTTGGGACTGAACAGAAATTGATAATACAGCAGGTTCCAATGGGCCCAAATGCAATCATGTGGTTTGATTTCAGGGAAGTAATGCTCTTGAGTTTTGTTCAGTTAGCTTTTATTCTTCTGCCCACTCCCAAGTTATCTTGCTTTTTGTTTTGCTTCATTTTTGTCATTTTAATTCTTGCTGTTGCAGCTTGAGTTCAGTACATCACTTCATGGCATTCAATTAGAGAATCCTTAGATAAGCGTGACTTGGCCTGCCTGCATAAAAATGTTCTTCAAAATCTAGCTAGATTCCTTTTCCTATCTGCAAGTAAGCCCATCAGAGCTCTTTGGATTAACTTGTGGGCCATAACATAACAAAGAAGGGCTTTATTCTCCATTACTAAATCTGGTTTCTACTTTGAAGTTAACAAAATTCTGTCTTTGGTTAGATTCTTCACTGCAGTGTTAAAATAATCAATAATAGACTTCTTTTTTTTTTCTTTTTACTCATACCCAAGTTTTCGGTGACAAAACCTGGCAATTATTTAATACTTATTTTCACAGCGACCATTAAAAAAATTGCTTAAGAGCTATGTGTGATTGGAACAGTTTGTTACATGAAAACTCGTAATTTTTCTATGTAAACCAGCAATCTTTATTTTATCTATTCCTCTGAATGCATATCACCCCATGAAAGTATTCTGGGCTATAGAAATGCTAATATTCTTGAATATAAAGGTAAAAGGTTAATGCTATTTGACAAAAGACACTTGAATGATGATATATATGAAAGGAATGGAACACTAAGAAGCTCATACACTTTTAGGTAAAAATGGTAGATTACATGCATTTAATTTTGCAGCCTCCTAAAACTGCACTAAAATGAAGGGTTTCCCCCCACCCCCAACGCAAGGCATAAACCTGTGAGGAGAACAGATAAACAGAAACACCAACAACCTTTTGGGAGCTGGAAAGTGCTAGATAGAAGAGGAAACAAACTGAGTGGGACTGAAAATGCAGAATCCTAGAATAATAGTGGAGAAAACCAGAACTAACCTAATTCTAACTCCCACAGACAGCACTAAAGATAGCGGGAATTTGTAGCATCAAGTAATTCCAGAAGTAGAGCTAAAATACACTTTTTTTAATAGTCTGTCTAAAGTTTATTTCTTAATCATTTTTTTATTTTTTGATTATAGTTGACATACAATGTATTACTTTCAGAAGTGCACCCCAGCGATTAGATGTTATATAACTTACTAATTGATCATCACAATAAATCTCAAACTCATCTGACACCATACATAGTTATTAGAATAATATCGACTATATTTCTTATGTTGTACTTTACATCCCCATGACTATTTTATAACTACCAATTTGTACTTCTAAATCCCTTCACCTTTTTCACCCATCCCACCCATCAAACTCCCATCTGGCAACTGTCAAAATGTTTGGTGTATCTACAAGTCTGTTTCTGTTCTTGTTTGTTTATTTTGATTTTTAGATTCTATTGTTAATAGATATGTATTTATTGCCATTTTTTTATTCATATTTTTTATCTTTTTTCTTCTTTTTAAAGTATACCCTTTAACATTTCATATTATACTGGTTTGGTAGTGATGAACTCCTTTAACTTTTTCTTGTCTGGGAAGTTCTTTATCTGCCCGTCAATTCTAAATGATAGCTTTGCTGGGTACAGTAATCTTATTCCTTGCTTTTCATCACTTTAAATATTTCTTGCCACTCCCTTCTGGCGTGCAAAGCTTCTGTTGAGATATCAGCTGACAGTCTTATGGGAGCTCCCTTGTACGTAGCTGCTTTTCTCTTGCTTTTTAAAAAAGATTCATTGTCTTTAACCTTTGGCATTTTAATTATGATGTGTCTTGGACAGGGCATCTTTAGGTTCATCTTGTTTGGTACTCTGCGCTCCCTGGATTTGTATTTCTCTTTCCTTCACCAGATAAGGGAAGTTTTCTGTCATTTTTTCAAATAGGTTTTCAATTTCTTGCTTTATCCCTTTTTCAGGCATTCCCGTGATGGGAATGTTGGTATGCTTGAAGTTGTCCCATGTGGCTCCTTACACTCTTTTTGTGTTTTTGGATTCTTCATTTCTTTTCGCTGTTCCGATCGGTGTTTTTTGCTTCCTTATATTCCAAATCGCTGATTTGAATCTTGGTTTCATTTACTTTAATATTCATTCCCTGTAAATTATTCTTCATTTCAGTTAGTGTGTCATTCATTTTGGACTGGTTCTTTTTTATGGTTTCTATGCCCTCCTTCATGCTGTTGAAGTATTCACAAAGTTCCTTGAGCATCCTTATAGTATTTTATTGAACTTTGTATCTGGTAGATTGTTTGTCTCCATTTTATTTGGTTCTTTTTCTGGCGATCTCTCCTTTTCTTTCATTTGGGACCTGTTTCTTTGTTTCCACATTTTGGCTGCTTTCCTGTTTTTTGCTATATATTAGGGTGAGGTGCTACATCTCCCAGACTCAGTAGAGTGGCTTTGTGTAATAGGTGTCCTGTGGGGCCCCGTGGTACAGCCTCCCCAGTCACCCTAGCTGGGGGCTCCAGGTGCTCCGCTCTGTGGGCTGTGTGTACTGTCTTGTTATAGTTGAGCCTTGATTGATGTTGGTGTCACTTGGCAGGTTTGACCCCCAGGCCAACTGGCCGTGAGGACAGGCTGCTATTACTGCCCCGGAGCTGCTGTGCAGGACTTGCTTCACTGAGGATTTGGTGCTCACTGAGTCCGGCCCTTGAGTGTGTCGCTTGTGGAGGGGGTAGGACTGTAATCCGGAATGATCTGAAGCTGTCTACCAGGTACACTGGCTTTGGGGCCTCCTGGGAGGCCGCAAAGCCAGCCACTGCCTGGCCCTGCTTGGAGCCACCCCACATAAGCTACAGAGCAATGTGCAGATGGCTGCCCCAATACTTGAACTGGGCTTGGGAGAGCCCAGGAGATGCCAAGCTGTGAAGGGCTGGCTGCTGCTAGTGCTGGACTTGGGGCCACTTAGCCAGAGGTAGAGAGGGTAGGCAGAGTTTGATGCTACTAGTTAGGAAAGTCTGAAACGTGAGGTTGGAAAGGCCAGTCGTACGGAAGAGCCACTGGAACAGTGTGAGTGGGGTGGATCTCAGGAAATCAGAGTGGGGCAAACTGTGTGAACCAGGTTAATGGAAACTCAGATATGGCACCCGCCCACTGGCTCTGTGGGCTGGGGGAATGTCTCAGAAAAGGAATAATGGCTTCTACCAGCACTTTTGTCAGGCAGACTTATGTTCCTGGTTCCTTTCATGGTGCTGCCCTACAGGAGCTCAGGGAGAGTGAGTTCAAGTAAGTCCATGTGCGGGACCTTTAAGAGGAACTGCCTGGGACCCCAGTGGCCCTCCGTCTCACTCAGCCACAATCCCTGATGGTTTTTACAGCCAGGAGTTATGAGGGCTTTTTTCCCCCAATGCTGACACCCTGAGCTGGGGGGTCTGGTGTGGGGCAGGAACCCCACACTTCTCAGCCAAATGATCCCTCCCGATTTTAAACTGCCACATATGGGTGTGGGATCAGCCTGTTCCTCATCTGTGCCCCTCCTACCAGTCTCAATGTGGCTTCTTCTTTAAATCCCTAGTTGTAGGACTTCCATTTAGCTAGCTACCAGGCAGTTCTGAATGATGGCTGTTCTGTAACTTAATTGTAATTTTGATGTGCTTATGGGAGGATTTGAGTACTATGTTTACATACGCTGCCATCTTGACCAGAAATTTAAAAAGTTTTAAATTCCCTACTCTTCCCCCCCTACCCACCCACTCCCTCACCTGACGACCCAGGACATACGCTTTGAATAAGGAATCATGAGTTAATCACCACCCTTGCAGGAGAATAAAGATTTATATGCTTATCCTTTGGAAAGGACAAAG